CCCCCCCCCCCCCCACCCGCCTGCGAACGTTGAACAGGCGCGATAAGACCCCCAACCCTATAAACCCTTTCCCTACCCATTCATGTACACTCGCTGCTGTATCTCTTTAACGATCGCCATTCCCCTCCTCTCCTCCCCCGGCGCACGCACAAAGGCTCGAGAAGACGCGGCGGAGGCCGCCGCCGAGGTCACCCACGACGTGTCGCAGACGCCCACCGTCCTCAAGGAGCCCATCCTGCACTCGGACCCGGCCGCCCTGCTCAACCGGGGGTGGGTGGAGATGGAGGTCTCCCTGGCGCTGGTGTTCGGGGTGGAGGTGCTGGTGTGCGTACGCTGGGGGCCCAAGGTTACGTTCCAGTCGGTCCTGGCGAGGACTCTCGTATCGGAGGACGGAGAGTCGGTGGAACAGGGGCCCGGGTTCAAGGGGGCTTTCTTGCACGGGATCGCGCGCATCGCTCCCGACGTTGAGGAGGTCAAAGGTAAGCGAGAGGTGGTTGGCAGGTTTTCTGGTGATGGTGTGGGTCGGGCGTTTGCTATTTTTCTCGGCATGTTGTTTTGGTTTATCTTGGAAGAGAGCATGCATCTTCGCAGCTTCTCTGTGATGATAGTTCGTTTTTTTTTATGTATTGCACGAGAATCTTGGTGCGCGGGAGGGGGGGGGCGGGGGGCGGGGGGCGGGGGTTCACCGATGTGATCGTCAACTTTTTTTTTTCTAGCTAAGAAGTGGAACCACATCGACTTATTTGTCACGCCCGTGCTTTTTACCTACTGCTGCCACCCCTGTTTCCGCACTTTCTTCTTGTGTGTGCCGTGAAGGCTTCGTGGTGGGCGTGAAGCGCGCCTTAATCGGGCCGGAGCGCACCGCGGACCCCACCGTGCCGGTCCGCGTGGTCTACGAGCCGATGCTGGAGCACTGCCACGAGCCGCAGACGGTGGTGTCTCCGCTCGTCCGGGCGTCGCTCGCCCTACACAACGAGGGGGCGCTGCTTCCCTTCCTGGCCGGAGACGTATCGCCCGTGGACATCATGTACCGCCTTTCGGGGGTGAGGAGCTATAAGGGAAGAAATTATGTCCTTCCTTTTTCTTTTTTGAGGAGGAGAAGAGAGGAAGGAATCTGTTCGATCTTTTTCCATTTTCTGGTTGCGAGAAGCGAAGAGGAACCTGTTCTATATCCTTCCTTGTACTTTTGTTTTGGGGAAGAGAAACGGAACTGTTTTTCCTTATGTTTTATTGTTTTGAGGAGAAAGGAAAGGAACCTTTGTCCCGCGTAAGGGGCCTTGTATTGTCGGGGGTGAGAGGGGGCGCACGAGAGTTCCTGCTGCATTTGGTTTTCCAACGGCCATGGGTTAATATTCCAATTGAGGCTCGAAGGCAACACACACGTCATTTTAGTCGCCATCAACCTCTTCAACATATCATATCGTCTGGAGTATATCGTAGTTCCCTGTTGTTTGCACACACACATACTACACGGCTTTCCAATTGCGATCAACGGTTCGATCACATTGTTCGTGCCTAACATGCTTTCCTCTTTTTTATTCACCGTCGTCGCCCTTGTCGCAAAACGCCTGCCGCACTCCTCTGTCACTGTTGCTGCAGCTGGCGCTTTGCAGTAACAATCAACCGTATCATCCCATCTTCCTGCCTACGTTTTCCTTTTTTGTTGTACCGCCGCCACCTACCGCTGTTGCTGCAGCTGGCCCTCCAAGACGTGAAGGATGGGTTCGGAGGCCTTGGACCCATCTCTGACGAGAACGACAGGGTAACGCTCGTCCGGCTATACCTGCTCGGGTTGTCGTACGCCATGGGGATCGTGCCCAAGGGCAAGGAGGCCGTAGGTGAGGGGAGGTGCATTTGCGGGCGGACTCGTCGTTGTCGTCGTCGTTGTCGTTGTTGTTTTTGTTTTGTTTTGTTTTTTGGCCTTGAAGCTACCCCCTTCAAAAGCGGATGTTCGCCATGAACCGAAACTTGTTGGCGTTGTTCTGAAGCAAGCACCCAAAGTTCTGGGGGTTGCATTGTAGCACACACACACACACCCTCCGCCGCTTGGAATGACCTCCAGCCAGGAACTTGTCGCTGATCGTCACCACAATGTTCAAATCGTCCCACCGCTCCCTGGAAACGTGTTTTTCGTGGTTCACAAACAACTGCCCAGGGCTAGCCTTCGTGTAACCCCCCCCCCCCCCCCCCCCCCCCCCCCCCCCCCCCCCCCCCCCNTACAGCAGCCGTAGGAGAGAGGAAGAGGAGGATAGACAGACATGTCCATGTGGCAAATCGGAGGAGAGTAGACCCCACATAGTTGGGGAGTGTGAGCTGTACAGGAAGGAAAGAGAGGATCTCGAGGAGGACATGAGACAGAGAGGGTGTGATATGGACAAGATTGGTAAATTAGACAACAGCGAAAAAACGATCGCGGTAATTGGGGATAGATGGTGGGCACAAGAGGCCGTAGAGGACGGGGATAAGATGTGCAAGAATTTTTTATGTAGTTTGTGGCAGAAACGTAAAGAGCTCCCAAATGTTGGTGGTGTCTCTAGTAGGGGTAGGAA